GCCCAATGAGTTGTCAGTCCGCCCCTGCCCTCAAGGGAACCCCTGCTCCTGGTTTATCTGATCTTATCTGATATTTGCGCATTAAGATTGCGCTTCTGGTGAGTGGGCAATCTTTCTATATCCACCTTGATCGCAGGCCACCAGATTTCAAAATCTATACACACGGGGAGATATTTATATTGGTCCATCGCTCACTAGTGGGATTAATCACTACCATCTGATTAGCTATTTTGGACACTATATTTCATATTGAATTTGAATCTTATTTATGAACGGTTTATTGTTTCTATATCATATTGGTGATTATTTGTTTAGCGCTGCACTACGTTTATGATTGGGAAGAGGCTTTGCATGCATTTTTCATGTTGAAAAAAGGCTCTGGACAGCATCTGGAAATGGAAGAGTTAAAAAAAAAATTCCAAATGCAAACGCTTTTTTTTTTGTTTACACGCGTTTACAAGCGTTTGGAACAGCGGTACAATCTACTCCTGAACGCAAGTTTGGTGCGTTCAAAAAAACGACTGTAAACTCAACTACCTGTAAAGGATGATGTGTACATGAACACATAGGAAAACATTAGGAGAGTTCAGGGGCTGCTGAAAAAAAAACGCAGAAAAGCTCCTGAATGTCAGTTTATCGGCTGCAGTGTACATGGAGCCTTACTGTTCTGGGGACAACCTGAAATTTGGGATGTTCTTTCACTTTCATCCTCTGTGAATTAGGCTCTGTTTACACCTATGCAGTTTTGCTTTTTCTCTGTTTTGCAGTGCTTTTCGCAGTTCGTTGTGCATTTTTCTACACGCGTTTTGACGCATTTTACCACGTTTTGTTCAGCTCTTTTTTTTTTTAAAGTGGAATTTTTTTTTTTTTTTTGCTGAGCAGCAGATTCTCCATTGAACTCTATTGTGGCAAAAACGCTGCTTTTTGCTTTTAAAAAAAGTCCCTGACACTTTCTGAAAATGCAGCAGCTTAAAAAAGCACGAGTTCCATAGGAAACCATGTTACATGGACTGTAGTGCATTTCTGCAAAAAGCACCAAAAGAAGCATTGGTGTGAACAGAGCCAAAGAGTAGTAGCCATCTGTCATCTGTGTCCCCATTGGGGAGATTTCCTTTTACTTCCTGTCCTACAGCCAAAACAGGAAGTGAGAGGAAATCCCCGATTGTCACCAGATCGCCAGAACTAATATCCCTGTTGGAAAATTTCCCCTCTACTCCTGTTCTGGTGACCACTCAAACTTTTGAAAACTTTATTTCACTTTTCACCCCCGGGACAGCAATAAAAACCTGATAGAGGTTATTTTTTTATCTCTCTGCTTTATCCAAATCTATAAAAAATAGTTTAGGCTTTAGTTATACTTAAAACTGGGAAAACTTATGTCAGAGGTTTATTTTTTTGCTGTCTGTGTCCCTTGGGGAGATTTCCCTTCACTTCCTGTCCCATAGCCAAAACAGGAAGTGAGAGGAAATCCCTGCAAAGTGAGGGAATCCCTGGCTGTCATCAGAATTAGTGTCCCAATTTGGAGATTTCCCCTCTACTACTGTCCTGGGGACAATACAAAATGTGGGATTTTTTTTTCACTTTCATCTTCATTGGGTATATTTAATTTTATTTCCTGTCCCATAGCCAAAACTGGAAGTAAGAAAAAAAATCCCCTCTATTCCTGTTCTGGTGACAACTCAAACTTTTGTAGTTTTTAAATTCACTTTTAAATTCTGTGATAATGGTAAACATGACAAAAAAAGAGGGGAAATCTCCCCAATGGGGACACAGACAGCGAACCTTTGTTACAAATACTGTTCTTTAAAAATTTTTTTTATAAATATATATATATATACACACACACACACACACACATATACAGTCATTATTAATATTGGGATCTCTGCATTTCTCAGATAATATACCATTGAAAATTGTTGCAATTACAAATGTTTCCGCATTCTCATGTTTATTCCTTTTGTTTGTATTGGAATGACACAAAAAAATGGAGGAACAAAAAGCCAAATCTGACACGGACTGTGTCAGATTTGGCTTTTTGTTCCTCCATTTTTTTGTTCATTGATACAGGTGAGTTTAATGACAAATTACAGGAGCGTCACAAACTTGGAATGCAATTATTTCTTACAGTTTTGAGCAGGTGCCAATAATTTTGTCCAGTCCATTTTGGGGGGTTTGTGTGGAATACGCAAACCCCCAAAATGGACTGGACAAAATTATAATTTTTATTGGCACCTGCTCAAAATTGTAAGAAATAATTGCATTCCAAGTTTGTGACGCTCCTGTAATTTGTCATTAAACTTACCGGTATCAATGAACAGGTGTTAGCGATATAGAAATCATACCGGCAACCAGCTAAAATGGTGAAAAATGGACTCAATCTTTCTGTTGTGTATCTCTGTGTGCCACATGGAGCATGGAGAAGAGAAAGAGAAGCAAGAACTGTCTGAGGTTTTAGAACAAACATTGTGGAAAAACATGAACAATCTCCAGGAGATCTTAATGTACACCAGAGTACTTGGTGTCATTCTGGACTCCAACCTATCCTTCCAGCCCCAAGTCCAATCTTTAACAAACTCGTGCAGACTCCACCTCCGCAACATCGCCAAAATCCGCACGTTCCTAACCCCAGAAACCACTAAACAGCTCATCCACTCCCTCATCATATCACGACTCGACTACTGCAACTCCCTCCTCACTGGCCTGCCTCGCCACAGGCTATCCCCGCTTCAGTCCATCCTGAACACGGCTGCCAGACTCATTCACCTTTCCAACCGCTCCATCTCCGCCACCCCCCTCTGCCAATCCCTCCACTGGCTTCCGATTGCGCAACGGATCAAATTCAAAATCCTAACACTGACGTACAAAGCTGTCCACCACACTGCCCCGAACTACATCACTGACCTAATATCCAAGTACCGCCCAACACGCACACTCCGCTCCTCACAAGACCTCCTTCTCTCTAGTTTCCTGGTCTCCTCCTCCCATGCCCGCCTCCAGGACTTCCCAGGGTGTCACCCATCCTCTGGAACTCCCTGCCCCAACCCATCAGATTATCACCTACTCTCCTCTCCTTTAGGCGCACCCTGAAAACCCATCTCTTCAGGGAAGCCTACCCCACCCCCTGCTAACTTGCCGACCTCCTCCACTCTTCCTACCACTCCATCCCCCACAGCTATCTCCTCCTGTACCACCATCCCCTCCCTCCTAGATTGTAAGCTCGAAAGAGCAGGGCCCTCAATCCCCTCATGTTTTGCATTGTATTGGTATTGTTCTGTCACATGTTCTGTCCCCCTTTGTAATGTACAGCGCTGAGCGAACCATTGGCGCTTTATAAATACTGTATAATAATAATAATAATGCTCCTGTGTCCACTGTGTGCAACATTGTCAGGAGGTTTACAGCCTATGGCACTGTAGCTAATCTCCCTGGACATGAAGTAAAGAGAAAAATTGATCAAAGATTGCAATGAAGAGTCGTTTGAATGGTGGATAAAGAACCTTGATCAACTTCCAGACAAATTCAAGCTGACCTTCAGGCCCAGGGTACAACTGTGTCAGCTCGCACTATACGTCTCCATCTGAATGAAAAGGGACACTATGGTAGGAGACCCAGGAGGACCCCACTGCTGACACAGAAACATAAAAAAGCCAGATTGGAGTTTGCCAAAACTTATCTGAAGAAGCCAAAATCATTTTGGGAGAATGTGCTGTGGACAGACCAAACAATTCCAGCTTTTTGGTAAAGCCCACCATTCTACTGTTTTCAGAAAAAGCAATGAGGCCTTTAAAGAAAAGAATCCAGTCCTAAGAGTCACACATGGTGGGGGGTCACTGATGTTTTTGGGGTTGCTTTGCTTCTTCAGGCACTGGATGTCTTGACCGTGTGCATGGCATTATGAAATCTGAAGACTACCAAAGAATTTTGGGGTGCAATGTAGGAGCCACTGTCAGAAAGTTGGGTCTACATCAGAGGTCATGGGTCTTACAGCAGGACTATGCCCCAAAGCACACGTCAAAAAGCTCCTAGAAATGGTTTCAGACAAAGCACTGAGTACTGAACTGGTCAGCAATGAGTCCAGATCGCAATCCCATAAAGCTCCTGTGGAGAAAACTCAAAATAGCAGTTGGGAAAAGGAACCCTTCCAATCTGAGAGACCTGGAGCAGTTGGCGAAAGAAGAGCGATCCAAAATTCCAGTAGAGAGGTGGAAGAAACTCATAGATGATTATAGGAAGCTATTTTTTTCAGTTATTTTTTTCCAAGGGGTGTGCAACCAAATATTAAATTGAGGGTGCCAATTATTTTGTCCCGTCCATTTTTGGGGGGTTTGTGTGGACTGTGTCAGATTTGGCTTTTTGTTTCTCCACTTTTTTGTGTCATACCAATACGAACAAAAGAAACAAACATGAGAATAACTAAACATTTGTAATTACAACAAATTTCTGGGCAAATTGGTGCATTATCTGACAGAAATGCAGGGTGGGGGGAGCAATATTTTTGGCCATGACTGTATATTTATATATTGATTAGCTGACCTATCCACACATACGTTTCTAAAGACTGGGAGGTTTTTGTGCCAAACTATCTTTTCCCTGGACTTACTTTAATAACAATTTTTTTCACAGTTACTAGAATTCTATGATGAAAGTCCATCCATCTGATACATTTCCCTGTTTTTTCCTGTTTCTGATACAATATAGGAGGTAATGGAGTGTACATGACACTGGGGGTAGTAGGGGTCACGGCAATAGGAAGCCCCTAGTTCCAGTTCTAGAATGTTTGTCTCCTTTCTTCTTATTATACCAATGGAAGCATCATCATGGAGTGCTCTTAGCTAGAACAGGTCTTCATACTCCTGAGAAATGGTATGTTCAGTAATTTGTGTGCTCTGTAGTACTCATTTACAACGAGCAGATTTCACATTTTGCACAATCCCAGAGGATTTCGGCTTCGACCTTGGCTCACTTTCTTTAATATGAGATGTTATACCATGATACTACCATGTAAGATGATGATTAGGCTCCTGGTCTTCTAAGGTGGATGGTGCAGTGCCTTCTTCTGTAGGATTCAGATGTGGGTCAACCTGTGTAACAAAGATATATAAAGTTGTATCAAAAACAAAAGTATAATGTATTGCTGCCTACCAATCCTAATATGTGGTGGCTGCATTAGTTTTCTTTTTTAGGCTCTTGTTTTTTTCTTACCTGTTGAACTGCCCATTAAACACACTTCCTGTCTTACCCCCCGGGTCACATCTGTGCGGGTGGTGCCGCTGTGGATCCGCATGAAAACCCATGCAGCCGCACCACCCACACAGAGAATTGCAAACCCGTGGGCGGTTGCCATTAGTTCTAATGGCATGCCACCCGCGCTGGGAAATGCAACTGTACTGGGAACTGAGGTTCCTGTGCGGGCTGCGTTTTCCAAAGTAGTGCAGGGACTTCTTTCACTGCGTGTCACGGGCATGGGAGTCCATTCAAATGAATGGGCGGCCGCATAGGTGGGAACCGGGGCTGAGGCTAGGTTCACACCTATGCAGGTTGCGTATGAGCCGTTTCTGCATTGTGTTTTGTATTTTTACCCTTGTGTTTTTTACCCTTTTTTGCTGTGTTTTTTTCATTTTTTAAATTTTTTTTTGTTGCTAGGCAGATTTAAAATGCAAAAAAATGCAGAAAAAATGCAGCAAAAATGCAATACATGCCTTTCTGCAGCCTTTCTATTGAAGTCTATAGAACCAAAAACGCAACTTTTTGTGTTAAAAAAAGTCCCTGACCCTTTCCAAAAAACTTCGGGTGAAAATGCACAGATGTGAACGTATCCCATAGGAAATCATGTTAAATGCTGCAGAAAACGCAAAGGTGTTGAACTGAATGGACTTTTGTCTTTTTTCAGTTGGACTAACTATGTAACCAAGGGTTAGGGTGTTTCCACTCTGGATGAAGGAGCAATGGAGACACCTTGGGGGGAGTGTTAGATGGACTAGCAGATTTACATCAGCTTGACTAACAAATCAAAGAATAAGTTTACCTTTCAAAAGATGTTAATATGTATCATGTTACGATAAGACTGGCGTTGGTTCCTCCTCGCTATTTTTTTAAAATGTCAGCTATATTTTTCTCTATTCTGAAGCTTAATTTGACCTGTTTTGTTTCTTGAATTTAGAAGATTTGGCAAAAAAGCTCCAATGCTGATATGCAAGTGTGGAAAAAAAAACAAAGAAACTAGAAATTCATAGCAAAAAGTAAAATTCACTCTTCTGTAAAGTTCCTTTTTAAAGTGTTACTAAACCCAGGACCCTGCATTCACTATATCTGGTCTCCTACGGACCCTGCATTCATTATAGCCGGTCCCCCCGGACCCTGCATTCACTATATCTGGTCCCCCCGGACCCTGCATTCACTATATCTGGTCTCCTACGGACCCTGCATTCATTATAGCCGGTTCCCCCGGACCCTGCATTCACTATATCTGGTCTCCCCAGACCCTGCATTCACTATATCTGGTCTCCCCGGACCCTGCATTCACTATATCTGGTCTCCCCAGACCCTGCATTCACTATATCTGGTTTCCCCGGACCCTGCATTCACTATATCCAGTCTCCCCGGACCCTGCACTCACTATATCCGGTCTCCCCGGACCCTGCACTCACTATATCTGGTCTCCCCGGACCCTGCACTCACTATATCCGGTCTCCCCGGACCCTGCACTCACTATATCCGGTCTCCCCGGACCCTGCACTCACTATATCCGGTCTCTCCGGACCCTGCATTCACTATATCCGGTCTCCCCGGACCCTGCATTCACTATATCCGGTCTCCCCGACCCTGCATTCACTATATCCGGTCTCCCGGACCCTGCATTCACTATATCCGGTCTCCCCGGACCCTGCATTCACTATATCCGGTCTCCCCGGGACCCAGCATTCACTATATCTGGTCTCCCTGAACCCTGCATTCACTATATCCGGTCTCCCTGGACCCTGCATTCACTATATCTGGTCTCCCCGGACCCAGCATTCACTACATCTGCTCTCCCCGGACCCTGAATTCACTATATCTGGTCTCCCCGGACCCTGCATTCACTATATCCGGTCTCCCCGGACCCTGCATTCACTATATCTGGTCCCCCACAGTACACAGAACATGGAAATGAAATTATTTTAGTAAATATAAACTGCTAAATATCTTTTCTCATCAGCAGTATATAGCAGTCTTGTGACTATCAGTGTCCGGCCGAGCACAGGTTAAAGCTTGTAGGGGGAGTTTTCATTCTCCTCTGGTTGTCCTATGAGGCTGCATAACCCCTGACCCTCTGTCTGGACAGCGCTGGTTGGTTCTGTGCTGATTACATTCACCCTCCCAAGAATAAAAATACACTAAAAGACAAGTTTCCAAATGGTCAGTCCACCCCTGCCACAAACATTAAAAAGTCAGCAGGCTTGGAGGAGATATCTTATTGCTGCAAATACTCTGCAAATATGTAAGCAATTTTAATAAACCACAAAGCTTTTATTTAAGATGTTGTTACGCAATGATTTTTAAATTTTTTCTGGGTATATGCCATCGCTGGCAGGGGCGGACTGACCATTTGGAAACTCGGGCACTGCCCGAGAGTCCGGGGTCAGTAGGGGGCCCCATGAGATGCCCCTGGTACCTTTTTCATAGGCTTTTTTAAGTTTGGGCAAGGGCACAGGGGCCCCATGATCCCCTATTGCCCGGGGGCCCCATGAGTTGTCAGTCCACCCATGATCGCTGGTATTGGAGCATTGATATGACAGTCCTGGAGTAAAGAGTGAGTCTGAGCAAAGCCTTCATTGCCTGTCAACCTGCTAAGGTACATGGGCTGACAGGTGTTGGACCACTCGGCTGTTTCACTGTATGATCACTAGTGTGGTGTGTGACACCGATTCCCAGCATATGAGGTTTAGGAGTCAATGGTGTCACACTATATATGATTTATATCTCTTTGAGGGTCCTATGCATTTGAAAGAGAGTTTGGATGAAGGATCCTGAAATCACTTGAGTCTATTAACCTCCCTAGCGGTCTGATTATGTCAGTATTTCTGTGCTCAAAGCGGTACATTTTTTTGCCTGGAAATATGTATTTTTTTTATTGTAGGCCTGTAATTTTTTTAGGAATAACTCACTGAAATCTGTCCGAACAAGAGTCTAGTAAACATCCCGGGTAGGATAAAATTTGAAAATGAAACCATAAATTATCATTTAATAAATAATCATAAAAAATAATAATAAAATTTAATTCAATAATATAATCAAACCAAAAACACTGAAATTTGAAATAGAGCGCCAAGTTCGCACATCGCTGAGCAAAGTCGCAAAATCGTTTTCAGTGTTTGATGACAAATTTCCCCCACGAATCATTATCACTCAATTCTGCAAGTGGTTCTGATTTACTATCGCTGTTCTCTAGCCGGTCTAAAACCGATTACGACATAAAGAGACGCTTTTTGGACGCCATGGACGTTTCTCAGTTTCCAGGCAGAAAGAACAGTAACAATGCAGGCAGGGCGCCGGACAAAGCACTCGGGACAAAATGTATGTGAAATGGTTTGATACAGGAATGTTTTACTATATGTGATTTTAGTGTATTTAGTGAATGTCACTTTTAATATTTTCAAATTTCCTGCTGGTTCCGTCCCCCGTACGTCCCGACGTTGCAGGGAACGGAACCCAGAAGACAGATGCTGGCATCCGCCGGAGGACATTACCGAGGACACTGCAGGAGGGACATCGCGGGAGCGCAGGACAAGGTAAGTACAGAAGAGATCCCGGAGCAACGCTGCAGTGTATTCCCGAGTGTAGCTCGGGGTTACCGCTTGTGGTGCTGAAACTTTACCCCAAGCTACACTCAGGAATACCGCCAGGGGGGTTAAGCAAGTTTTCCACCTACTCAGGGTAAGGGTAGGGATTGCAGTCACTGGATGAACTCAGTCACTGGGGGCACGTATTTGAACACTTTGATGTGACCACATCACCAGTATTTGTGTGATGTTTTGAGGATAATGCACTATGTGTAGTTTATTATTTTTTTTAGGTACTAAGAGTGGAAGAGGGGGAATCTGGAGACAAATTGGGAATTGGTGGACAAGATGAAGACATCACCAGTTTATATGGGAAATCTTTGAGAATTTTTGCATCTTCAATACTAGACAATGCATGCCAAGGGGAATCCGCTGTTTGCACCAGAACTGGGGTCTACTTATCCCACAGATTCACCATCTTACCTCGGAATATAGTGGCGGGGGGTTGAAATCGGAACTCCTGGATGACAGCAAATGAAGGAAAGCAGAGACCTTCTAGTAACACATCTTGTTCTGGGACTGATGGTGGGGCGCACCATGAAAGATCTTCTTCTGAAACAACATCTGCGTAATTTGGTGGTGCTGATGGTAAAAAACAATCTCATTAATATATTATAAATTCATTGCATTATATAAAGTAATAGGGCACCATTTTCCTTTCTATAATGTATATATATTTAGCAGTGAAATAAAATATATACCGTATATAAAAAAAATGAAAATAATTTAAAACATTTTTAAAACACACCTGAACACACTCCATATAAAAAGGTTCAGCATAGCAGGGTGAGCATGTGTATATAAGAATCAGTTGTGCCACACTAGCGATGGGTTGAACACCCCCCGCTTCGGTTTGCGGTCGAACATTCAAACCTACCAAAAGTTTGACCACGAAATTCAAAAACGGACAATTTACTGCATCTGAGTATGGGGTAAGATACCGGTCAGTTACTAAAATACTGCATGAGATATTATGAAGTCATGCAGTATTTTAGTAGAAAAACATTAATTCATGTTTCAGCTGTCAGCGGTTTTCCATGCTGTCAGCTGAATGTCAACGGAATTGTCAGCATTGCCCGAAAATTTAATAAAAAAAAAAAAAGTATGGGCTCCTCTCCCATCCATACCAAGCCCTTTGGGTCTGGTAAGGATTTTGAGGGAACATGTCAAATTAAAAAAAAAAAAAAAATGGCGTGGGGGTCCCCCCAAAATCCTTACCAGACTCTTATCCAAGCATGCAGCCTGGCAGGTCAGGAGGGGGGGGTGGGGGGTGGGCAAGGTGCCCTTTCCTGAAGCATACCAGGCCATGGGGTGGTGCTACGAGGTGGGGGGCTCCCCCCCAAGGCACCTTGTCTCCATGTTGATGGGGACTAGGGCCTTTTCCCCACAACCGTAGCCAGTGGTTGTGGGGGTTTGCGGGCGGGGGGCTTTTCGGAATCTGGAATCTCCCACCCCCTTGTGACATCATCATGCCCTGTGATTGGCCAAAGCATTGCACCTGAACTGTGGTCAGGTGCAATGCTTTGGCCAATCACAATGTACTGTCAGGGCGCAGTGCATAGTGGGGCACGGCAGGCGAGTAGACTGCCAAAGGCCCACACCATTCACCGAACACACAAATGGCTCATGTGCAAGCTGAACTTACGTTCGACTCGAACATGCAGCCCCGCACTATGCCACACATGTGAGGTACTGTCATGAACGCTGCAGGGAGAGCAATACCTATAGAGCCATTATTCACAATTATCTCCTGTAACCTGTAAAAGTTTTTAAAATGTCACCTATGGAGAATTTTAAGTGCCAAAGTTTTTTGCAATTCTATAGTCTATCACAATTTTAAGACTTGACACGTTTCTTATCTATGTACTTGACAAAACCCAATCTTTTAAATTTTACCAAGGAATTCTGGATAATTTTGTATTTATTTGCACTAAAATTCATTTTACTGTAATTTTTGTTTTTTGAAAAATAGGCTTTTGACAAATAACTGCGCAGATATAGGGCGACATTAAACATTTCAACAACCGCCATTTTATTCTCCAGGGTCTAAGCTTTCAGACTATATATACTTTCTAGGGAGTTTACAGCAATTTCTAGCAAATAATGCTGATGCTAAAATTAAAAATTGCCCCCGTAGATGTAGGCGAGTGGTTAATGTTGAATTTTTAAATGCAGTCCGAACTGTTCCATGAGCTGGACGACAGTTGGTGGTAATATTTCTTTTTAGTCCGGGCCTGGTAGTATATTGTTCATCACATTCAATACCTTCTACAGTTAGTAGAACATGTAGAATATGTATGTTAGTAAAACATACAAAATTTTGTGAACCATTTTCTACCTTCTGGGTGTTCCGGCAGTGCCAAGGCAAGCCAACTCATGTCCACTGTAAACTGACTGGCCACACTGGAGTTCCTGTACGCGAACCCATTAAATGGCACTGTGCCTATAATTAGAGGGAGCTCCACCATCAGTCTTTGCGCACCGGGAATGTGAATATAGACCTGGATAAGTAGAAGAAAAATCTGTAATTTTCCTTGAAATCCCAACTGTCATGAATGAACAGAAAATTGCAATGAACTAGAAAAGCAAATATTAAATAACGTATTATTATGACTAATTAATGAACTGCTTTCCACAAGCCAACAATAAAATTAACATCTACAAACCAGAAAGTATTACTCAATCCTCCCAGCTATGACAGAGCTATTTTCATGACATTTAAAGCAGTATTAGGCAGTAAATGTACTATAAAACAAATCTCCACTGACCTCTGTAGCTGCATGTACTGTGGATCAAATCATCCCCATTGTTCACTGGCAGGGTTGATTTAATAAAGGAGTATAAGCTATAGACTTGTGTTCATATTGTATACCCAATCAAACAGGGAAATTTAAAAGTCAGGAGAAGGAAGAAATCCCAACTGCCCCCCCCCCAGCAGACGGTCATGTGAGTTGAAGCAGCCTCAGCTTAGCTCCATCCAGGCCATGCCACCGACGCGTTTAGACCTGCCCACAGAGCTTAGTCATGGAGTCACTTTAATGACTAAACCCCATTAGCGGGGAAAAATGAATCGGGGGTGTGGCCAGGACGAAGCTAGGCTATGGCTGCTTCAACTCGCATGACCGTCGGGTCTGTTTGGAGTGTGGCAATTGAGATTTATTCTTTCTTCCTCCTTGATTTGTTAAAAGGAGTATAGGATCTCTCACAACAAACACTTTACTCCTGCGCTAGGAAAGGACTCAGTAGACCCAATAGGAATGTTCTGGAATTTTCTGGAATATGCACTGCTTGCTGCCCTCAACAGACCGGGGTGGTCCGAATACACTGGATACAAATGGAGAAACAGAAAAAGGGCGCACCGACCTAGTGCATTATCATTTAAAATAATTTATTAAAGAAACAAAAATAGGTATCATACTCACAATGGACATAATAACACAGGCATGTCAAACTGAACAAGACGTATGATCCAAACAACATCTGAGTCCATACGATGGAACCCTGGATGACCAACTGGCTAACATGTTTTGAGGACACAACCTCTTCCTCAGAGCCCTGGGCGTTAGCCAGTCGGGTAGAAGAAAAAAATCCCAATTGCCACACTCCAAACAGTCGTGTGAAGTAAAACAGCCTCAGCCTAGCTCCATCAAGACCATGCCCTTGACGCGTTTTGCCTCACCCACGGAGCCTAGTCATGGAGGTGATTCTAGGACTGTGCCCCGTGGACAGGACGAAACGCGCCAGTAGGACGTAGTCTGGACGGAACTAGGCTGAGGCTGCTTCAACTCGCATGACCGTTGGGTCTGCTTGGAGTGCAGCAATTGAGATTTCTTCTTCCTTCCTACTTGATTTATTAAAGGAGTAAAGGATCTTTACTTGGCAAAAACACTTGCGTTCACATTGTATACCCAATCAACCGGAAATTTAAAAGTCAGGTAGAAGAAAAAATCCCAATTGCCACACTCCAGTCGTGTGAAGTAAAACAGCCTCAGCCTAGCTCCATCAAGACCATGTCCTCGATGTGTTTTACCTCACCCACGGAGCCTAGTCATGGAGGTGACTCTAGAACTATGCCCCGTGGACAGGAAGAAACGCGCCAGTAGGACGTAGTCTGGACGGAACTAGGCTGAGGCTGCTTCTCACATGACTGTTTGGAGTTTGGCAATCAGGATTTCTTCTTCCTCCTGTATTTTACATTTCCCTGATTGATTGGGATATCTTCTTGCTCCTGTCTCATTACATAGATGGGCTCTTCACACTGAGCCGGAAACCCACAGTGTGAGCCCACCAGACTTGGATATAGGAACCAGAGCAGTAACCCAAGCCTTTCTATTTAGGTCTACAAGGAAATTTAAAAAAAACATGATTTTTGCTAGCACATGATTGGTTTATTTAAAGCCCATCATCAGGGAAAATAAAAATCCTCCTTTGCCTTGGGGTTGCCCCCACATTGCGATAGTGAAACACTTGTTTAGGTCTAGTGGATGGGAAAAGCAGTTTAACATTCCTGATTCTCTGCTTTCTATGGCGATTAATTGTTCCTCAGTGTTCTCACACTCAGTGCAGAGCTATGGGCTCATATGGAAGCAAAATATATTTTAAAATACTCTTCCCAAATATATTGACATATATTTGAAATGCTACAATTTTGGCCGTATTCAATATATTTAAAAGAAAAAAAAAATAATATATATATATATATATATATATATATATATATATATATACATACATACATACATACACACATATACACATACAGTGGGGATCGAAAGTTTTGGGCACCCTAGCTAAAAAATTTGTATTAATGTGCATAAAGAAGCCAAGGAAAGATGGAAAAATCTCCAAAAGGCATCAAATTACAGATTAGACATTCTTATAATATGTCAACAAAAGTTAGATTTTATTTCCATCATTTACACTTTCAAAATAACAGAAAACAAAAAAATGGCGTCTGCAAAAGTTTGGGCACCCTGCAGAATTTATAGCATGCACTGCCCCCTTTGCAAAGATGAGACCTGCCAGTGTCATGGATTGTTCTCAATCATCATCTGGGAAGACCAGGTGATGTCAATCTCAAAGGTTTTAAATGCCCAGACTCATCTGACCTTGCCCCAACAATCAGCACCATGGGTTCTTCTAAGCAGTTGTCTAGAAAACTGAAACTGAAAATAGTTGACGCTCACAAAGCTGGAGAAGGCTATAAGAAGATAGCAAAGCGTTTTCAGATGTCAATATCCTCTGTTCGGAATGTAATTAAGAAATGGCAGTCATCAGGAACAGTGGAAGTTAAAACAAGATCTGGAAGACCAAGAAAAATATCAGACAGAACAGCTCGCAGGATTGTGAGAAAAAAACAATTCAAAACCCACGTTTGACTGCACGATCCCTCCAGAAAGATCTGGCAGACACTGGAGTTGTGGTACACTATTCCACTATAAAGAGATACTTGTACAAATATGGTCTTCATGGAAGAGTCATCAGAAGAAAACCTCTTCTACGTCCTCACCACAAAAATCATCGTTTGAACTTTGCAAAATGAACATATAGACAAGCCTAATGCATTTTGGAAACAAGTTCTGTGGACCGATGAGGTTAAAATTGAACTTTTTGGCCAGGAATGAGCAAAGGTACGTTTGGAGAAGAAGGGGCACAGAATTTAATGAAAAGAACCTCTGTCTAACTGTTAAGCATGGGGTTGGATCAATCATGCTTTGGGGTTGTGTTGCAGCCAGTGGCACAGGGAACATCTTACGAGTAGAAGGAAAAAAACGGATTCAATAAAAAATTCAGCAAATTTTGGATGGTAACATGATGCCATCTGTGAAAAAGCTGAAGTTAAAGAGAGGATGGCTTCTACAAATGGATAATGATCCTAAATACACCTCGAAATCCATGGGGGATTACATCAAGAGGCGTAAACTGAAGGTTTTGCCATGGCCTTTACAATCTCCTGACCTCAACATAATTGAAAATCTATGGATAGACCTTAAAAGAGCAGTGCGTGACAGACAGCCCAGAAATCTCAAAGAACTGGAAGACTTTGTAAGGAAGAATGGGCAAAGATACCTCAAACAAGAATTGAAAGACTCTTGGCTGGCTACAAAAAGCGTTTACAAGCTGTGATACTTGCCAAAGGGGGCAGTACAAGATATTAACTCTGCAGGGTGCCCAAACTTTTGCAGACGCCATTTTTTTTGTTTTCTGTTATTTTGAAAGTGTAAAATGATGGAATAAAATCGAACTTTTGTTGACATATTATAAGAATGTCTAATCTGTAATTTGATGCCTTTTGGAGATTTTTCCATCTTTCCTTGGCTTCTTTATGCACATTAATACAAATTTTTAGCTGGGGTGCCCAAACTTTCGATCACCACTGTACATATATACATATAAACATACACACTGCATGTTAAAATGCGTTTTTATTACAAAATATATAAAATATTTTTAAAAATACATTTCAAATATACTGTATGTCTTTAAAAATATAAATCTACATTTTTGTAATGCATTTACAAATATATGTAAAAATATATTCTTTAGATTTTTCAACATGCAGATATACGGTATTTTTCGCTACATAAGACGCACCTAGGTTTTAGAGGAGAAAAACAAGAAAAAAATATTCTGAACCAATGGACTGCGGACATAGTACAGGGGATGACCAGAGACTGTGGACACAGTACAGGAGATGACCAGAGACTGTGGACATAGTACAGGAGATGACCAGAGACTGCGGACACAGTACAGGAGATGACCAGAGACTGCGAACACAGTACAGGAGATGACCAGAGACTGCGGACACAGTACAGAAGATGACCAGAGACTGCAGACATAGTACAGGAGATGACCAGAGACTGCGGACATTGTACAGGAGATGACCAGAGACTGCGGACATAGTACAGGGGATGACCAGAGACTGCAGACATAGTACAGGAGATGACCAGAGACTGCGGACACAGTACAGGAGATGACCAGAGACTGCGGACACAGTACAGGAGATGACCAGAGACTGCGGACACAGTACAGGAGATGACCAGAGACTGCGGACACAGTACAAGAGATGACCAGAGACTGCGGACACAGTACAGGAGATGACCAGAGACTGCGGACACAGTACAGGAGATGACCAGAGACTGCGGACACAGTACAAGAGATGACCAGAGACTGCGGACACAGTACAGGGGATGACCAGAGACTGCGGACACAGTACAGGAGATGACCAGAGACTGCAGACAGTACAGGGATGACCAGAGACTGCGGACACAGTACAGGGGATGACCAGAGACTGCAGACATAGTACAGGAGATGACCAGAGACTGCGGACATAGTACAGGAGATGACCAGAGACTGCGGACACAGTACAGGAGATGACCAGAGACTGCGGACACAGTACAGAAGATGACCAGAGACTGCGGACATAGTACAGGGAATGACCAGAGACTGTGGACATAGTACAGAAGACCAGAGACTGCAGACAGTGCAGGGGATGACCAGAGACTGTGGACCTTTGGGGAGGGAGGGGGGGGGGGGTACCTGAATTTGACAGTTACCCGCTCCCACTTCCGCAGAGTTGTCCTTCCTTCTTCCCGCGGCGGCTTCTGTGACAGGAGATGACCAGAGACTGCGGACACAGTACAGGAGATGACCAGAGACTGCAGACATAGTACAGGAGATGACCAGAGACTGCGGACATTGTACAGGAGATGACCAGAGACTGCAGACATAGTACAGGAGATGACCAGAGACTGCGGACATAGTACAGGAGATGACCAGAGACTGCGGACACAGTACAGGAGATGACCAGAGACTGCGGACACAGTACAGGAGATGACCAGAGACTGCGGACACAGTACAGGAGATGACCAGAGACTGCGGACACAGTACAGGAGATGACCAGAGACTGCGGACACAGTACAGGAGATGACCAGAGACTGCGGACACAGTACAGGGATGACCAGAGACTGCGGACACAGTACAGGAGATGACCAGAGACTGCAGACAGTACAGGGGATGACCAGAGACTGCGGACATAGTACAGGAGATGACCAGAGACTGCGGACATAATACAGGAGATGACCAGAGACTGCGGACACAGTACAGGAGATGACCAGAGACTGCGGACACAGTACAGAAGATGACCAGAGACTGCGGACATAGTACAGGGAATGACCAGAGACTGTGGACATAGTACAGAAGACCAGAGACTGCAGACAGTGCAGGGGATGACCAGAGACTGTGGACCTTTGGGGAGGGAGGGGGGGGGGTACCTGAATTTGACAGTTATACCCGCTCCCACTTCCGCAGAGTTGTCCTTCCTTCTTCCCGCGGCGGCTTCTGTGACAGCCGGCTGCCCACTGTGCAGCACGAGAAGCACTGCGTTTTGTGAATGGGCCGGAGTCTTCTGGGACCTACCATGTGTCCCAGAAGACACCGGACCCATTCACAAAGTGCGGCGCTTCTCGCTCATGCGCAGTGGGCACCCGGCTGTCACAGAAGCCGCCGCGGGAAGACTGTACAGCGCTGGACTGAGGAACAGGTAAGGCCCTGCAGGAGAGAAGAGCTGAGCGGCCGGCCCGGTATTCTGACATGGTGGTGGCAGAAATACCGGACCGGCCGCTTTACATTCGCTCCATAAGACTTACTGACATTTCCCCCCCTTTTTTCTGGGGGAAAAAAATGTGTCTTATGGAGCGAAAAATACGGTACATATATTTATTGAAATATATTGAATATGTTCTTCAGATTTGTTTTAACCAATAAAAAAGTCATTTTAACATATATTTTTACATATATTTGTAAATGCATTCTAAAAATGTAGATTTAGATTTTTAAAGACATACAGTATATTTGAAATGTATTTTTAAAAATATTTTTCATATAGTTTGTAATAAAAACGCATTTCAACATGCAGTATATATATATATAATATATATATATATTTATTGAAATATATTGAATATAGCCAAAATTGTAGCATTTCAAATATATTTTTTCTTTCATGTGGGTTGGACTTGATGACCACAGAGGACCTGCGGAACACAGGATAGAAAAGGCTGCGAAGAGCGATCTTACAGCTTGGAGGGTGCAGAGAATTGGATAAGTAAAAACTGCTTTCTGTGGCCCCCAGACCTATATGAGCATTTAACCCTTAGGTTCAGTTCACAATGCTGCGACCCCAAAGTCATGCGACTTACTCGTGACTTTGTTGCGACTTTTGTAATTTAACATTGCAGTCTGTGGCACTCAAGTCACACCAAAGCCGCAGAAAAGTAGCGCAGGAACCCTTTCTTGCCCTTTGAAATGAATATGTTTTGATTTGTCTTGAGACTTTAGGTGTCACAAGTTGCATAGGTCACAGCAGTGTGAACTGGAGCTTATGGCTTGTGGGCAGGGGCGGACTGACAACTCATGGGGCCCCCGGGCAATAGGGGATCATGGGGCCCCTGTGTCCTTGCTTAAACTCAAAAAAGCCTATGAAAAAGGTACCAGAAGCATCTCATGGGGCCCCCTACTGACCCCGGGCCCTCGGGCAGTGTCTGAGTTTCCAAATGGTCAGTCCGCCCCTGGGCTGAGAACTACAGAGTGGCGACCGGTGGGTGGCAGCGGCATGCGGGCGTCGGTGAGGGGCGGGTTTTTTTTTCGGCACCTGTATCGGTGCTTTTTTCCATATCAGCCGATGGCCGAAAGGTGTGTTTTCGGACGAAACATTTCAGCCACCAAAATTTTGGTGCATCACTTATTACATATATTGAACATGATATGCGTGATATGGTGATGTCAGGGGCTGGGGCGGACTGACAACTCATGGGGCCCCCAGGCAATAGGGGATCATGGGGCCCCTGTGTCCTTGCCCAAACTCAAAAAAGCCTATGAAAAAGGTACCAGGGGCATCTCATGGGGCCCCATACTGACCCCAGGCCCTCAGGCAGTGCCCGAGTTTCCAAATGGTCAGTCCGCCCCTGCAAGTTAGGGGAAAACCTGCTGCAAGGGAACATTTATTTATTATAGCTACTTATTTACGCTTTACATATATATTGTACATTCACATCAGTCCCTAACCCTCAAGGGGTGTACAATCTAAGGTCCCTAACTCACATTCATACATACACATACTAGGGACAATTTAGACAGGAGACAATTAACCTACCAGCATGTCTTTGGAGTGTGGGGGGGAAACCGGAGTACCTGGAGGAAACCCACACAGGCACAGGGAGAACATGCAAAATCCAGGCAGGTGCTGCCATGGTTGGGATTCAAACTAGTGACCCCAGTACTGCCAGGTGGAAGTGCTAACCACTTAGCCACTGTGCTGCCCGGTGGCACATCTATGCTTTCCTCTAAGTTGAGCTTTAGGTTTCACTTTACAAAATGACCGTCCTCTTCCTCTTCACCTCGCTAAGGTCATCAGATCTGCCGCCGTTCCCGAACAGTCTCGGTTACATGTAATGAATGGACTCACCGCTAGAACGTACTCCACGCGGATGATATGACAGTCCAAGATGGTGGGTGTGACTGGAGGGATTTTCAGCATCTTCCCATTCCAGGATTCTGTGCTCCCCGAGGCGATATGGTTTCCTCGCACACTGGCTAGCATCTGTTTATGTGTTTTCGTCTTCCCGTGGACTATGAAGCTCTGAGTCTGGTATATAGCAGCTTTGGGAACTATTAGACGTGAAGAGCCATTCTCGATTTCTGCATAAATTGCAACAGCTTCCCCTAAAGAAGAGGCAGAACATGGAAACTAGTTATATTAGGATATTTATTTATACATAGTGTGTATATACAATATATGAAATGTAGTAACCCTCCACATTGGTGTCAGTGGATGCAATGATAACCCCCAGCATTGGTGTCAGTGGATGCAAGGATAACCCCCAGCACTGGTGTCAGTGGATGCAATGATAACCCCCATTGGTGTCAGCACTGGTGTCAGTGGATGCAATGATAACCCCCAGCACAGTGGTGTCACTGTGTGGATGCAATGATAACCCCCAGCACTGGTGTCAGTGGATGCACGGGATGCATAAACCCCCAGCACTGGTGTCAGTGGATGCAAGGATAACCCCCAGCACTGGTGTCAGTGGATGCAAGGATAACCCCCAGCACTGGTGTCAGTGGATGCAAGGATAACCCCCAGCACTGGTGTCAGTGGATGCAATGATAACCCCCAGCACTGGTGTCAGTGGATGCAATGATAACCCCCAGCATTGGTGTCAGTGGATGCAATATTAACCTTCCATTGGTGTCAGCATTGGTGTCAGTGGATGCAAGGATAACCCCCAGCACTGGTGTCAGTGGATGCAATGATAACCCCCAGCACTGGTGTTTGTGGATGCAATGATAACCCCCAGCACTGGATGCAATGATAACCCCCAGCACTGGTGTCAGTGGATGCAATGTTGTCATAACCCCCAGCACTTGTATCAGTGGATGCAATAATAAACCCTAACTTTGGTGTCAGATGGATGCAATAACATCCCTCACATTGGTATCAGTGGATGCAATGATAACCCCCAGCACTGGTGTCAGTGGATGCGATATTTAACTTCCAACATTGGTGTCAGTGGATGCAATAATAGCCCTCAGCACTGGTGTCAGTGAAAGCAATAACAAACCTCACCATTGGCATATGTGGATGCAATAATAACCCTCAGCACTGGTGTCAGTGGATGCAATATTACCCTTCCAGCAGTGGTGTCAGAGGATGCAATAACAACCCTCACCATTGGTATCAGTGGATGGAATAATAAAAACTCACCATTGGTGTCACTAGGTAACCCTCAGCACTGGTGTCAGTGGATGCGATATTTAACTTCCAACATTGGTGTCAGTGGATGCAATAATAACCTTCGAGCATTGGTGTCAGTGGATGCAATAATAACTCCCAGCAATGGTGTCATTGGATGCAATAATAAACCCCAACATTGATGTCAGTGGATGTGTTAATAACCCCCAACATTGGTGTCAGTGAATGCAATAATAGCCCCTAGCACTGGTGTCAGTGGATGCAATAACAACCATCAACATTGGTGTCAGTGGATGCAATGATAACCCCCAGCACTGGTGTCAGTGGATGCAATAATAACCCCCAGCACTGGTGTCAGTGGATGCAATAATAACCCTCAATATTGGTGTCAGTGGATGCAATAATAACCCTCAACATTGGTGTCAGTGGATGCAATAATTACCCCCAGCACTGGTGTCAGTGGATGCAATAACAACCTTCAATATTGGTGTCAGTGGATGCAATAACAACCCTCAATATTGGTGTCAGTGGATGCAATAACAACCCTCAATATTGGTGTGCCAGTGGATGCAATAATAACCCCTAACATTGGTATGGTATTAGTGGATGCAATAATAAGCCTTGATATTGGTTGACTTGACATTGGTGTCAGTGGCCACATTAATAACCCCCAGCATTGGTGCCAGTGGATGCAATAATAACCCCTAACATTGGTATCAGTAGATGCAATGATAACCCCCAGCACTGGTGTCAGTGGATGCAATAACAACCCTCAATATTGGTGTCAGTGGATGCAATAAAGCCTTGACATTGGTGTCAGTAGATGCAATAATAATCCCCAGCACTGGTGTTAGTGGCCACATTAATAACCCCCAGCATTGGTGCCAGTGGATGCAATAATAAATCCCCAGCATTGGTGTCAGTAAAATAATGCAGTAGATAATAACCCCCACTGCATTGGTGTCAGTGGTTGCAGCAATAACCACAAGAACTGGTGTCAGTGGATACAATAGTAATCCCCCCAGCATAGGTGTCAGTGACCAAAGTAACAGCCCCCAGCACTGTCAGTACTAGTAACCTCCCCCCACATACACACATTGCTGCTCACTAGCAGTGAAATTTTTAATCCCCCCCCCCCCGTATTGGTGGTCATGGCGGTGAAAGTTATCCCTCATCCCCCCCGCAGTCCTCCTGTGCGGGGCCCAGGCCACCAGAGGGGTGAATCAGATTTGGGCAGGAAAGATGATCGGCAGGGCAGCAATTACTGGAACCGATCCCCTGTATGGCTCTCTCTGGAGCAGCTGAAAGCCGGCTTCTTCTCCTCTCCATCCCGCTGATATTCAGCTGCAGCAGAGAGAGCCATACAGGGGATCGGTTCCAGTAATTGCCCCCCCCCCCCCCCCCCGCTGCACCCATCACCCTCCCTGTGCACCATACATTTCCCCTGCTGCCCAGGCCCCCCGGTGTGCCCCCACCCTCGCAGTGCTGCTGGCTTCCCTCCTCTCCTTCCCACTGGCAGCTGTAAGCACACAATGGGGACCTTCATGATTTAGAAGAGTCCAGAAAAGAAGTCACATTTACTAACCCCTTTCTTTCCTGAATGAACACGAGTGATCGGTACTGATCACTCAGTGTTCATTTATAACTGTGTTTTTGTTTTTTTTTTTTGGGGTGGGGGGGGGGGGATTTCCGGTTGACTGTATGGGGCCCCGTGGTTTATGAAAGCAGCCGTGGGTGACCTCATTAGGTCCGCGCTCTGCTCCTATCTATGACAATGGGCACAGTACAACATATGAACCTCACCATTGCAGTAACCTTTCCTCCCAATTCTGGCACTGAGTGATATTGGTCCGGAGGTGAAGAACCAGCAGCCAACCGTTCGCTCCTTGGTTCGTTCTGCGGGAGTCTGCAGAGAGTAAACACGGCAGTATTCAGGATGTGTTGGGACAACATCCAGACAACGCAGGTACAATAGTGCGGCAGGAAGACATGATGCCATTAAAAGGTACAATTAGCGGATAATCACCGGGGCAGCCAGATATGAGCGGACTGAAAAAGCGCCCAAGTGATTAGCGTCCTCACATGATGACCATTTACACTATTGATTCAACACGGATCGCCGGCACCGCTACACGCCATTTACTGCTCCGATAGCAATCTGCTCACATACAGGATTATGCCTGAACCCAACTCACTGTTAGGCGAGGTTCACACCTATGCAGTTGGCATGTAATTCGTTTCTGCAGAGCGTTTTGCATTTTTTGCACATGCGTTTTGACGCGGTTTTGATACGTTCTGCATTTTTTTTTCCACTTTGTTGATGGGCAAAATAAAAAGCGAAAACACATCAAAAAACGCATTACATGCTTATTTGCAGCATCTCCATTGAAGTTTATAGAACCAAAAACGCAATGTTTTGCGTTTAAAAAAGTCCCTGACCCTTTCCAAAAAACGCACCGGGTGAAAACTCAGAGATATAAACCTGTTACATAGAAAATCATGCTATGCAGTTTGCGTTTGATCTGTTTCTGCAGTGCAGTGCATTTTGCTGGGCAGAAGAAAACGCATCAAAAACATGTAAAAAACCCATTACATGCTTTTTTGCAGCATCTCCATTGAAGTCTATAGAACCAAAAATGCAACATTTTGCGTTTAAAAAAGTCCCTGACCCTTTTCCAAAAAACGCACCGGGGGAAAACGCAGAGATGTGAACCTGTTACATAGGAAATCATGCTATGCAGTTTGCGTTTGATCTGTTTCTGCAGTGCGTTTTGCATTTTTGCACATGCGTTTTTGATGCGTTCTGCTTTTTTTTTTACTTTGTTGCTGGGCAAAATAAAATGCAAAACGCATCAAAAACACGTAAAAAATGCATTACATGCTTTTTTGCAGCATCTCCATTGAAGTCTATAGAACCAAAAACGCAATGTTTTGCGTTTAAAAAAGTCCTTGACCCTTTTCAAAAAAACGCACCGGGTAAAAAACGCAGAGATGTGAATCTGTCCCATAGGAAATCATACTATGCAGTTTGCGTTTGATCTGTTTCTGCAGTGTGCATTTTGCTGGGCAGAAGAAAACGCATCAAAAACATGTAAAAAATGCACTACATACTTTTTTGCAGCATCTCCATTGAAGTCTATAGAACCAAAAACACAACGTTTTGCGTTTAAAAAAGTCCCTGACCCTTTTCCAAAAAACGCACTGGATGAAAACACGGAGATGTGAATCTGTCCCATAGGAAATCATGTTATGAAGTTTGCGTTTGATCCGTTTCTGCAGTGCGTTTTGCATTTTTTGCACATGCATTTTGATGCGTTTTTGATGTGTTCTGCATTTTGTTTTTTCACAGTTTTTTTTTTTTCACTTCGTTGCTGGGCAGTATTAAAACGCAAAATGCATCAAAAACATGTCAAAACGCATTACATGCTTTTCTGCAGCATCTCCATTGAAGTTGTTTTGCATTTAAAAAAGTCCCTGACACTTTCCAAAAAACGCACCGGGTGAAAACACGGAGATGTGAACCTGTCCCATAGAAAGGAAATCATGCTAAATGGACTGTAGTGCGTTTCTGCAAAACGCAGTGGAAAACGCACAGGTGTGATCCTAGACTAAGGCTAGGTTCACACCTATGCAGTTTGCATTTGATCCATTTCTGCAGTGCTTTTTGCGTTTTTTGCACATACAGGTTTTTGATGCGTTTTTTTGATTTTTTTCAAATTTTTATTTCTTTTTGTTGCTAGGCAAATTAAAGTGCAAAATGCATAAAAAATGCATCAAAAAAATGTATGCAGTGTCTCCGTTGAAGTCTATAGAACCAAAAACGCAACTTTTTACATTCAAAAAAGTCCCTGACCCTTTCCAAAAAACGCACCGGGGGAAAACACGGAGATGTGAATCTGTCCCATAGGAAATTGTGTTAAATGGACTGCTGTGCGTTTCTGCAAAATGCAGAGGAAAATGCATAGGTGTGATCCTAGACTAAGGCTAGGTTCACACCTATGCAGTCTGCGTTTGATCCATTTTACAGTGCTTTTTGCATTTTTGCACATGCGTTTTCTTAACTGCTAGCCGACCATGCACTGTAGCTTTACTGCTACAGTGTGACCCCACTGCACTGGGTCACATATATATATACGTGATTCCGCATTTCTGAGTAGTTAGTTTCCAGAATATAACTGGATATAACATTTATAGGTAAAGTTGATCCAGGGAATATCTGATTGCCTCTCGGGGGATCAGGAAGGAATTTTTTTCCCTGCAGTTTTGCCTTCCTCTGGATCAGCTGTGGGTGTAGGATTATAACTTTTTTTTTTCTATGGTTGAACTGGATGGACTTTTGCCTTTATTCAGCCAGACTAACTATGTGACTATGGGGCGCACGCATGCGCCCACTGCCATGGATGAGCTGTGATTTGCTACAGCACAAACTGATCAGCCAATGATTTATGGCTGGGATCCACTGATTGGCTGAGCAAATGACAGAAGAGAGCCCTATGTTAGTAAATAACACAGCAGGGAGTAAAAACAAGCACATCGCTCATTAAAAGCAGCACATACTAAACACATTACACATGCTTAGGCACACAGTTAACCCTTTGATTGCCCCAAAATGTTAACAGCTTCCCAGCCAGTGTCATTAGTACAGTGACAGTATATACTATTAGCACTGATCACTGTATTAGTGTCACTGGTGATGTCAGTGTCAATTAGGCAGTTCCCACAAAGCATCAGTTAGTGTCAGATTGCCCGCCACACTATCACAGTCCCACTAAAAGTTGCTGATCAAAGCTATTACTAGTATTAAATAAATAAATAAATAAATGAATGAATGAATAAAAATTCAGATATATACCACAGGTTGTAGGTGCTATACCTTTCAGTCAAACCAATAAATATATACTTATTGGGATTATTTTCTCTTTACCAAACACACGTTACAGAATACATTTTGGCAAAAATGTATAAAGAAATTAGATTTTTAATTCAATATGGCCAAAATTATGTCATACAACCCAGGTGTCATTCATCAGGGGGAGGGACTTTTCCCAGCTTAGCACACCCTCCTGCCTGTACGCCTGAGCTACGGGAAGATGGATTCCAGGAAGTAAATGCTATACAAATCATCTGCTCTTATAGGGATAGAAATTATAGGGGGTGTTTTTAAAAGTGATTTCTCAACAATGGAGATACGGTGGTGGGGGAGTTTTACTATGAATATTAGTGAATTAATTGCATTTTAAAGTTTTGTGGTTCTCAGATACAGTTTTTTCTGCTTTGAAATCATCTTTTTAGGATTTAATTAAAAAAAAAAAATGAAAATGAAACATATACATAAATGTCTGTGATGACATATTTGTCTTTTTCATTTGACACTTGGCAGCGTAATCGTCACATCTGCACCATTGTTCATGTCCCCAGAAGCCAAAATGACAAAAAATCTGCCTGTAATTGTTATGGATGTATACTACAGTCACTGAAAATGAGGCGCATGATGTTCATTAATTCCGATACTGAACAGGTGTGTGTAGATAGTAAGAGTGCGCCAGAGGAATCCCAGAAATGGTTTTTTTGGCACATAGAACACCTTACACATAGTGATGACTGCATTAGGAATCAATAGCTTTCTTTCTGCGGAGAAGCCATGCAATCGTGTTTTATGAATTGTTTGGTAAATCAGCATACATACAGGTCTACAAATAAACAATAGCAACCTCCTCTGCTACTCAAAAATGGACTAATAACAATTATGGGGAGGAGGCTGCTGACACCCAACCATATACCAAATGGATAATGTGCAGAATATAATGTGAATTGGTGCAGCGCTACCCAGGGGTGTATTTACCACAAGCAAACAAGGCAGTTGCCTAGGGCGGCTTTTTTCAGGGGGGCAATGCTGTCCCTTGAAAGAAGGAAAGGAAGAAGGGACACACGCAGCACAGGGACCAGGCGGGATCTGAGAGGGGCTGTGGGCTGCTTGATGGTGTATGCAGAGCCTGACTTTTGTTCCCGGGGAGCTGTGAAGGTGAGTGTCTTATCTCTTGCTGGGGGAGGGGGGGTTGCCAGTGTATGGGGAGCACTGGTAGTGGAAGGCGCTCTCGGGTGGGGGTGGGGGCTGGGGTGTTGTTGGTCAATGTCAGGCTCTCTTCATGGGGAAGGTGGGTATAGGCTGGTGTCAGGGTCTCTCCATGGGGGGGGGGGGGGCAATTTTTGTGTTGCCTACGGCAGCATGAAACCTAAATACACCACTGGCGCTACCCCAACACTACACTACTCCCTCACTGTCTTATCCCAACAATTGATGAAATAATCCAATAAATGATGTACAATAAATAAGTAAAATAGAATAGAATGCACATAAAAACAGTTGGAATCATCCAAAATGACTCATACAAAACTTATAAGTGACTAATGAATGCCACCGGTGCAGTTTGGTGAATACAACAAACCATTCTTTCGCAGTCCATAAAGTGAGCTGATCCGCTAAATGATCCATAATGGAACAAAAATTGAATAATCTGTACAGGTCTACGCCACTCTTTAGGTCTCATTCACACTAGCGTACCACACAGGGGCAGACTGAAAAACTCATGGGGCCTCCGGGCAATAGGGGATCATGGGGCCCCTGTGTCCTCACCCACACCCAAAAAAGCCTATTAAACAGCCAATGAGAGGTACCAGGGGCATCTCATGGGGCCCACTACTAACCCCGGGCCCTCGGGCAGTGCCCGAGTGCTCGAATGGTCAGTCCGCCCCTGGTACCACAGTATACACCAGACATGCGCAATTTGTTGTGTTATGAATCCAAAAATTTGGACAAAATTTCCTTTATGTGGAGATTCAGACGTAGCTGAATTTCCTAATAACCATAGTAACGAATTTCGACGAATCGAAAAAAAATATAATAAA